GTGCAATCCATACTGAAGGCTGTGGTCTTTGATCTTCATCAGTAAGTGCTTCAAGTCCTCTTCACTTTCAGCAAGCAAGGTTGTGTCATCTACACAATGCAGGTTGTTAATGAGTCTTCCTCCAATCCTGATGCCCTGTTCTTCTTCAGTCCATAACATTGACTAATACTGGGAGACCAAGGGTAAAACAGCGCTGGAGCCATTTCTCTGAGTGTGATGCCTGCATTGTTCCAGGGGCCGCAGTGTGAACCCCAAAATCCAAGGTGGGCCCTGGAGTCACATAGTGTAAGGTTTGAACTCTGGTTTCACATCTCAAGCTGTGTGACCTTGGGTGAAGTATCTAAAATTGCTTCTGAAAAGTGGAGATGACACTCTATTTAAACTCTCAGGGCTACTATAAAGATTAAGGGAAACTGTGATAAATCTGATGCAGTGCCAAATGCATAGAAGAAACTTGTGAAATCATAGGAATTGTTGTCATTTGTAAATATTTTAATAGGCATCAAAGTATGCATTGCCTTGGGGGAAAAGCTATTAAAAAAATAAAAAGTATAAACTTGATTTTGAAGGAGACACAAGCAATTTAGTTAAGTTCAAATTATTTTATGAAACACTTTGAAATTCATTTATAAAATTTATTTCTAGTTGTAAATAACCTTACTGACATGTTACTATGGAAAGAATAATTAGCAAAAAAGTTTCTAGTCAATTTTTATCCAGTTGTTATCCAGTTCCTATTCACTGCACTATTTTTGGTATATTTCTGGAAAATTATAATTGTTTTGGTCAAACAAAATACCACCATTCCACATAATTCATTTAAAAAAATCTAGAGACGCAAGTATCAGGTTTTTTTAGAAAGGATTCTTTTCTCTAACCAGTTGCTGTTGAGTCAACTGCAACTCATGACAACCCCATGTGCGTCAGAGTAGAACTGTGCTTCATAGGGTTTGCAATGGCTGGTTTTTCAGAAGTTGGTCACCAGGCTTTTCTTCTGAGGTGCCTCTGAGTGTACTCGAACCTCCAACCTTTTGGATAGCAGCCCAGTGTGTTCACCATTTGCACCACAAAGGGACTCCATTCTTTTCTGTAGTTGGTGCTAATTAGTGAGGTTTTCCTGCCTTTCTACAGGAGAAGAATAACTAAGAAATACGTGGCAAGAAATCCAGAGAACCTTTTGGGTTGAACATTCTCTTTGCTCAGATAGTGTATTTAAGGGTCTGACATAATGGAGCCCACTCTGCGTGTGACCACACAGAAGACACCAGTGTCTCCATTTATAACAAGCCAGAGCCCTGGCTGCTCTCTCTGAGCACGTGGACAAGCTAACAGCAGGGAGATTCAGCTCTGGACAGAATGTGATACTCTTGTCCTCCCAGGAGCCCGCTGAAACAGACAAAGGGCTTGTTCTTGAACGGAAAGAGCGCACGGAGGGCTCCTCCCGCCTCGGTACCTGGCACTGGCGGCCTCGCAGACTCGCTGTTGGGCTTGAAGCGCAACTGCATGAGACGGGAGCTGGCAAGACACCTCCTGTTAGGGACTGAACTGTGTTCCCAAAGGATGTGCTGCAGTCCTAAGCCCAGTACCTGTGAAGGTGAACTTGTTTGGAAACAGGGTCTTTGAAGGTGTTACCAGTTAACATGAGGTCATACTGGAGCAGGGTGGGTCCTAATCCCATCTGAGTGGTGTCTTGTAAAACGGAGAAAAGGCACAGAGAGACACTCACAGGAGAGGATGGCCGTGGGATGACAGAGGCAGACACGGCTATAAACCAAGGGGCGTCAGGGGGTGTCAGGATCCACCAGAAGCTGGGAGAGAGGCAGGGAGCAGATTCCCCCTCGGAGTCCCAGAAGGAATTGACACGGCCGACACCCTGATCTTGGACTCCCAGCCTCCAGAACTGTGAGAAGATTAATTCCTGCTCTTCAAAGATACCCACTCTGTGGCATTTTTGTTCCAGCAGCCCTGGGAAGCTGAGACACATCTTTTTGCTGATCTGACACAGGACTCGGTTCTGAAGTTGCATGTACAGAAATCTATTGAAATCCAGACTCCCTGAAGCAAAGGGACATGCAAACGGTGGATTTTCTCATTTTTGTGAGCCACACACTCCCACTCTGGTCCCGGAAACACCCTACACACAGCACAGGCCCGTGTCTCCCCTTATGTTACCCTGTGAGTCAAGGTTAGAACTTGGAGCTCCCAGGACACTGGCTGGAGCTGGAGGACTGGGCTGGTCCAGCTGTTTCCACACTGTGATGAGCCTGTGGGCAAGACCCCAGCCCACCCTGTGCCCCAAGCCGTCTGCAACAGGGTGAAGAGTTCCTGCTCTAGTGCTGCCGAGAACACAAATCAGATGGAACTCAAACAGCCACAGTCACAGGAAACGTGTCCTGTAATAGAAGGACATTCCTAACCGTCACTGGTTATTAATGCGGATCCTGACAGTCTGCTGTGAGCAGGTGGGAGGTTTCTGACTTACTCCTCAACTCCCGGGTACAAAGGAGGCATTGCGTCTTAGATGTCATCACCCAGACTCACCCTGGAAGAAGGAGCCCCTTGGTGGCGCAAGTGGTTAACATGCTCAGCTGATAACCAAAAGGTTGGAGGTTCGAGTTGTGATAGTAAACCTCTAAAACTGAGGTACTGAGCATAATTTAATGGCTGACTTGAGGTCTGAATCAAAACTCCATTTTGTTACAAGCTCCTGCGTCCTGAGAATGTAATCTTGACTTCTTCCCATTCATATACGGGGCCTTGGGCCTCTGGCTAGATGGAATCAGAAGACACTGGTCCCCTATCAACCATCTTGTTTAACCAACCTGGCTCTTGCCCCAAGCCACTCTTAGTAAAAAGGGTGGGGGTCAGAAACTTAATTGTAAGAAAAGGAATTTATTCAAGATATTCTAGTAAGAAGGTAGTTGCTAATGACACACCCATGTTGTGATCACATGACCATCACACACGTCCCTTTCCCATCCTTACTATAAAGCACACCTCTCCCTCCGTGCCCAGGGCACTTGGCAGAGTCCTCTCTGCCCTGTGTTTCCCCAGTTCGAGAATTGCATTACCCTCAATAAATCTCTTTGCTTTTACTTTAATTTTCACTTATGTAAGTTTACTTATCCTTAGATAGAGACTACCCAGAGGAGCCTCAGAAGAAAGGCCTGGCGATCTGTTTCCAAAAAACCAGCTATTGAAAACCATGTGGAGCACAGCTCTGCTCTGACATACATGGGGTTGCCATGATTTGGGGTTGACTCAATGCTAACTTGCATTCTCAGTTCAGTGTCTGGTTTCAGGGCTCCTGTGGGAGTGAGGTCCTAGTCACTCAAATGCAGTGGCCTCACAGCACTCGGGATGGGTGCCCTCTCGGGGAGGGCTTGTCCATCCTGTGGAAGTACTGCCCCCTACCCCCTGGCCGCCTACCTGCGCGTACGGTGGAAGTGGCACCTCTTCAGTGGGACCTTGGCCACGTGCTCACGCAGGCCCACAAACAGGACGCTCCGGCTGTGCAGGATCCGGAGGCTGCGGACGGGCTCCGGTTGCTGCTCGGGGAAGAGCTCTATCTCCTCCAGCAGGCAGCTGCCCGCAGCAGGGCCCAGGGGTGCCCGCACCTTCTTGATGGTGCCGTGATCTGGAAGGTAGCAGGCGGGGGACAAGACAGTGAGTGCCACGGCCAGTCTCAGTGACCCACGGCTCCAAGCAGAAGGTTTACGACCCACCCTACTCGGACATGACCTCACTAACCTAACAAGAGACAACCCCGTTTCCAAACAGGGTCACATCCACGGGCCAGGGCTTCACTATATATTTCTGGGAGATGCAATTCAATCCATGACAACCCTCAAATGTTTTGTTGTTGTTGCTTTTATGAGTGACTGAGCGTCATGATTATATAGCAAATTTTACTTCAGGAAGATAAATTTGGAAACATAAAATAACAATTTACCCACTGCCATCGAGTCAATGATGACTCTTAGCAACCCTATGGGACAGAGCAGAACCGCCCCATAGGGTTTCCAAGGCTGTAATCTTTATGGAAGCAGACTGCCACATCTTTCTCCCACAGAGCAGCTAGTGGGTTCGAAGGGCAGATCTTCGGTTAGCTGCCAAGTGCTTAACCACTGTACCACCAGGGCTCCCTAAAATAATGATTAGCAATATATTTTTCTTTGGAATAGATTAAAACAAGAAAACAAAAGGAGGCCTGAGCGGGCCTGCATGCTACAGTGGGGACAGGCATAAGAAGAGGCGTTTCTGCAGCCAGAGCACTGATATGACAGGCCTCCGTTAAGCAGAGACTGAATCCAGGGCACTGGAGCAGGAGCTTGAACCTCCGCCGGCCAGCAGATGGCTGGGAGGTGGTAGCCGGTGGTCCACGCCCATCCATGTCTGGGGCGCTCTCTGCTGGTCACTCAGCGTGAAGCTGAAGGGCTTGTTCTGGGAGAAGGTGTGGTGAGGTCATTTGTTTCAGCAGCAGAAATGGGAGTTGAGCCCATAAAAGGGACCCAGAAATCAAGTGTCCATTGAACATAAGAGGACACAGCAGAGGGACCCCGCTCAGCCCTCAGGGCACTCTGATGCTGTTCCTGGCTTGATAACAGTGGTGACGGCTTCAACTATGAATGCTCCTGTTTTGTGAGCTCCAGGAGGGCAGGCGCCACGTTAGTGTTGTTCTCTGAGAAGTGCAGGTGCCCCGTGGATCACGGAGATCAGGTGTTTAATAAGCACGTGTAATGTTCAAGCCTCACCAACAGTTAATGCACTTGGCTGTTAACGGGAAGGTTGGCGGTTCAAGTCTACCCAGAGGTACTCGGAAGTAAGCCCTGGCGATCTGCATCTGAAAGGTTACAGCCATTGAACACCCTGTGGAGCACAGTTCTACTTTGATATACACGGGGTCGCCGAGAGTCAAGGGCAACTCAACAGCAGCTGGTGGAGGTGCTGGGTGAGAGGCTGAAGGCAAGAGTGAGTGATGAATGAATGAGTGAATGAATGAATGAATGCACGACCGAACACACGCCTGCAATAGGGATGTCATTCGTGTCACTGATACATTTGCAGAAACGAGTCCAGATTGGTAATTTTCCATTGTGGCCTTTTACAAGAGCTATATGCAAAGGTGAGACACAATACATGTATCTCCCCAATTCCCCAATGTGGATGGATTTCAACCAAAAGTGGCATAAACAACATATGCAGGAGGAAATAATTTTAACTGGTTTCATCCAATAAAACATTAATTCAGACAACTGGCCATAGGGAATGAAACCACACACACCTTCTACATAGCTGAGTATCAACACTCTAAGCAAAGTCAGTAGTGGGAAAATAGATGTCAGAAATATGTACAACGGTAATCCTTCTTTAAAATCTTGAGGTCAGCAAGAAAGGAAGAAACTGGCACTTCTTGCCAATCGCAGCTCAACTCCCCAGGGAAAGAGGAGGGCGCCCGGGATCATCCAAGACAGGAGGGTGATCCAAACCAGCTCTGCTTCAGCAAAATCTGTCATAATATCTGCTTCCATGTGAACGTGTCAACTGCAATTATGTTAGGGACACAATTTGTGTGTCACTTAGAAGTGAGGATGGCAAGATTTCAACTCGATTACTTTGGACACATCACCAGGAAAGACCAGTCACTGGAGAAGGACAGGCATCATGGCTGGTAAAGCAGAGGGTCAGCGAAAAGGAGATGGACTGACGTGATAGCTTCAATAACGGACTCAAACATACCAACGATCACGAAGGCGACCCGGGACGGAGCAATGTTTCGTTGTTATACATAAGGCTGCCAAGAGTCGGAGCTGACTCAATGGTAACAAGCAATAACATACTTGTAGTTTATCTCTGAAAACTGAAAACCATGGATAGTCATCGTGAGAGAAAGAGCTACCGCAAGCCTCTTAAGAGCGACCAAAGCTGAGAGCATAGTTGCTACACGAAAGACAGAAATAATTATAATTACATGAGAATATCATTAAATATTGTATTGAATCATTTACATTTGCCTCGTATTAGCAGTGCAGTAAGCATGGGGTTGCAGGATTAAATTTAGGATGTACAATTACATTTGAATTCAGATGAACAATGAGTATTTTTTAGTATTATTATGGCCTATATGTCAATATTATTCATGATTTCTCTGAAATTCAGCTGGAACTGGGCCCCCTGTACTTTTATCTGCTCCATCTGGCAGCCCTATTCTACCCACATCTCATTTGATCGTCTCGGAAACCTAGTAAAGATGTAACTAATGCATATGGAATTACTGTCATTTTATAGATGAGGGCACTGAGTTTCCCAGAGTAGAAGAGAACTGATAGATGTTTTCTCTAGATGTACTTTCAAAGTCCTGTAATGGGGTAAAACGTGTAATGACTTTTCACTTCAATGCTAGTGAACAAGATAAAAAACTCTAATAACCACCCCAAAGAAAACGTTCATTAAAAAGCAACTGTTGCGGAGGCCAGTGATACGGAGGAAGCGGGAGTCCAACTTAGATTTTCTGCATTCCCCCTTCACTGTGTGAGCTCCTCGGATGTAATGACACTTAACCAGGAGGAGGAACAAGAAGGAAACCAACATTCACATCCACTGGAAGCCGCGCCTGCTGCCCAGCCGGAGGGAAGTGACTCATGGCATGGGCTTCTGAAGGCGGCCGTCCTCCGGGGGCAGGGAGGGAATCCTTTCTGCACGTGTCCTGCCGACCTGAGCACACGGGGGGACATCAGAGCCCGACATGCTTCCTTCCTGATTCTGCACACCCATGCACCCGTACACTCAACAGCAAGACACACGGTGACAGATGCAAACAACTGTCTGCAGATGAGCGGAAACCCTGCGTGAACAGCAAAGGTAGTAGGTCTGGGAATTAGAGAAAGAGACTACTCGCTACCTTAGAAAGAGGGACCTGGCAGCCCACCATCCTCAGAACCTGAGTCCGGCCCTCATCTGGGGCAAGGGACTTCTTGTTGGCTTGCGGGTGAAAAGAGGAGAACTCTCCTGGCCACCAATCACTAGGATGTGGTCCCAGCGATTTGTAAGATTGATTTTTGATGGTGGTTGATGAAGTCCTGGAGACCAGAAGGAAAAATGGTAGGACAACAATGCAGAGGAAAAATTGGATTATCATAAAAACAGTAATGTCCTTGGGTAGTAGATGGTTAACATGCTCAGGTGCTCACAGGTTGAAAGTTTGAGTACACCCAGAGGCACCTGGAAGAAAGGCCTGGCAATCTACTTCTGAAAAAGCAGCCACTGAAAACTCTGTGGAGTACAGTTCTACCCTGACACACATGGGATCACCAGGAGTCTACAGTAACTTTTTTTTTTCCATATCAGTCAAGCATTGGTTTCTGATTTTGTGGTGTTCATACATTGAAACTATGGAAAAGATCATATGCAATCCCTATAAAAGTATGTTAGTAATAGTATGGTGAATGAGTTGTTAAAAGGTCAGTGAACTAAATATAAATAGTGTATTAAATAGAGTTGTTATACAAAATAAAGATCAAGCTACAACTTATAGATGTGACTTATCATAGAATTCACACTTGACAGACAACTGATGTATAAGCGGTGCCAAGCCCAGGACGGATCTGACTTCCCGGCCAGGCTTTGAGCTCTCATCTTCATGAGCTCAGGAAATAAACAGGGGAATAAACTTATGAAAAGAGCCATTTAGTTCAGTTCTATTAAAAAAACAATAAAAAAAAGAACATTTAAGGTGATGAAAGATTTGTTAAAACAAAAATCTTAAATAAAAATAAGACTTAAATCACTATTTGCTATACATGTAGCATAAGCTCTAATGTACCTAATTCAATTATCAGAGGTTAAATTCACAATATTTTTGGTTTGGGGGGAAAGCAGCTGATTTTTTTCTAATTTGCAACCCTTCAGCTTACTAACATGGATTTAACAGTTTGAACAAGAATCTATTTTGCGTCTTGATGTTACTGTCAGGTGCTGTCGGGTCAGATCTGACTCCTAGCGACCCTACATATATCCTTAGAATCAACTTGATATTGATAGTCAACTGAAATGAACCCAATTTCACTTGGAATGCCAACATGCCTCATAGTAAGATTGGGACCCTGTGCCAAGGATAGGAAATATAAGAAATAGATTTTGTTACCCAGATAATTTGTTCACAGAAAGTTGAAACTATAAATTACTTTTCTATTTTTTCCCTAAAATATTATGACTCAACAGCTCATGCACATGCAAAAGCCAAAAAAAACAAAAAACCAAACCCGTTGCCATTGGGTCGATCTCAACTCACAGCGACCCTACAGGACAGAGTAGAACTGCCCCATTGGGTTTCCAAGGAGCGGCTGGTGGATTTGAACTGCCGACCTTTTGGTTAGCAGCCAAGCTCTTAACCACTATGCCATCAGGGTTTCCACTAATGCAAAGGTATTATAAATTATATGTTAGATTCATTTTTTTTTTTTACTTTGAATGATCATAAGACACACATTAAGAGTCTTTTTTTTTTCAAATATTTTCATTTATTTCAGTTAATTCCCTGTACGTGCGGTTCTACTATAGAAAAGTGTGTGGTGAGGGGAAACAGTTGCCACAGAGTCATCTCATACTCATGGTGACCCCATGTGCTCCATAGGGTTT